TGTAAAATGAGGGAATTAAGTAACAGTATTTCATGTGTCCTTTTGACATCTGAAGGCCTATCACTCTAATTTATCAAAGGCATAGATTAGGTGTTTTGTTCTTAACTTTTAAATGACTATGTGTAATTTGATTGGACATTTTAAGGAATCAAGACAGTACCAAGATGCAAAAATTTAAGAATTACAATTGCTCCATTTTACCTATTTTTCAAATCCAATATAAATCTGTGTTTACTTCATATCATCTCAAGGGCACAATGTTTAGATAGAAAAGTTGAACAGACTCTGAACCATGCTAAGACAATTGTGTATTAGATACAATTAAGATTGTAGATAAACCTTACAGTTGATTACCTTGTAGCTAAATCCAGATGCTTGAGGCAGAAAACTGCTTTGACAAACCTTGTTTTCACCAAACAACAGAAAACTGGAGCCAAAACGCTATGGAGTAAGGGGAAGGGAGATAAAAAGGAAAGTCGGTAGAAAGAAAGGAAATGTTGATAAGTACACTCATATTATTCAATGTATATTTATGAAAAAGGAACTAGAACAATTGAGGGGATGGGTGGGGTGGGGAGAAAGATGAAAGGGGTGACAATGATCAAGAGACATTGTACTTGTAAACTAAAATTGTATTAAAACATATCATAACATATAATATAAGGATAATAATATGCAATACATCCTACACACATATGATACGAACAGGATAACTAGCTAGCTAGTGTCAATAGATATCTTTTTAAAATTCTCCTTACTGATTTCTCTGGGTGAGTTTGTTCTACAAGGCTTCAATATGTCTCTACTCCTTACTGGATGTTGTTTTCAGTTATGGGAGGGTGTGCACTAGAAAACATGCCTTTCATGCTGTTTCATCTCTCTGAGTGAGAGCTTCAATCTGAGAGTTCCCTGGCTTTATATCAGAAATGTCATCACTTGCTCACCTTTCTTCTTCAACACTTTAATCTTGCAAGCAAATAAGCGAACTGGTTTTGATGCCGAAGCTTGTGACATTTGACTGGTCACTCACTCATCTCTAAGCTGAGCCACTTCCTTACCCTCCGTTTCTCTGCCAGACTACTGCTATCATGCCAAAAGATCTTATTCTTGAGCCCGCATTTATTAACCTTCTGGGTAAATTCTTTATATAGTATTTAATCAGCAGACTTTCGTAAAGTGCAAGTAAATTACAGACCACTTATCTGGGACAATCATCTGCCATTTTTTTCAGTAGAAGCCAATTGGATTTCCTGTAAATGATTGTTAGTTGAATGAGTCTATACAGGATGCACTTAATTTAATCACTCATTTTAGTTGCTCTTTTATTACAAGTATGAATAGTATCTTTGGGCTGGTAAATACATGTTGCTTTCCTCCGATGGTTTGATAGGCTACACAGCATGCATTTGGTGAAGATCAGTAAAAAAAATAAATAGTGCCTCCTAGTTTTTCTTTCCCTAAAGCACTTCTTAATTAAACTCTTTGGAAAAGTCTTTAGACTTCTCTTCAAGAATTGCTGTGACATTTGATAGAGGAATACACTAGCAGCTTAATGGACAGCAGAAGAGGAGGTACTCTGAGTAAGGAAAGAGAGAAAACAACATTGGCTAACCTGGTCTCTTAATGGAGTTCCATTACTATATACTCAGTATCTTGGGTACTGGGAGCCCAATAATGTTACTTCTGTTGTCTAAGGGTGTTAGAAGGCCATAGATTCTTCCTTCAAGAAATGTGATAAAAGTTTTGAATAATTAAACAAAACTACTTATATGTGGTTCCTGTTTTTCCCATAGCCTTTAAATGTGTCCTGGGTAGGAAGGTATGCCCTGCAAGGAAAGATCAGCTTAGGCAATAAATCGTCATGTCTGCTCATTTATTATGAAGTGATTATTTAGGAAAAGGGATAAGAAAATCCTCTAGTAATAGGAGTAGGGATAAGCAAATACTCAAATAATGTTTAAGGAAGAATTACTTCTTAAAAAATTCCTTGTAAGTGGGCTCTCAGGAAGTACTGACTGTATGTTTCTTTCTTTGCATTGACCTACCTGACATGTTCAGGAATATAAAAAGATTATAACATAGCATTTTCAACCTTTCAGTACATAGTGCTTCCTTGTATTGTACATCATTCTCAAGAAAGCTTCTTGTATGACGAAAGGTCTATGTACCCTTGCTGCCCTAAACCCAGACTCTCCTCAGACTGACTCATAATGGCAGAAAGCCACACTCTCACTTCTGCTGTGCCATGGAGGAGTCCCCAAATGATTCATTGTGACATTTATGGCTTTAATTTCTTTGTTGCTCACAATCCCTGACAGAAGGCAGCAAGATACCCAGGATAGCAGTAATGTCATGATCTCTACCTAGAATGATTACAACTCCTGACTTAAGCACATATGTATGCAATCTGAAAATGATTTTGAAAATTAAGATTCTGCATCCTTCTTTCCTCTTCTTCTTTTTTTGGGGGGGAGGGTCCGATTGTGGGGCTTGAACTCTGGGCCTGGGCACTGTCCCTCAGCTCTTCAGCTCAAGGCTAGTGCTCTACCACTTGAACCACAGTGCCACTTCTGGCTGTTTTCTTTTTGCTTATGTAGTGCTGAAGAATTGAACCCAGGGCCTCAGGCATGCAAGGCAAGCGCTCTACCACTGAGCGACCTTCCCAGCTCCTTCCCTCTTCTTTTCTTCCCCATATCTACTAGCCGCACTCACATTCTCCTCGGTTCCTTCTATTCCTCCTTTTGACACTAGACTTAGGATGATCATAAACTTTCAGTTTTCCAGGAATTGAGTTTCGAGTTATATTTTTGCAGCTCTACATCATTGTGAATTTCACAAGACAAGCTACAGACCTTATTAAATTATCCGAGGGCAGCCTTAGCTTTTAAAATCTTCTTGCCTGATTTCTTTTGGTCTCATCTAATTTTCTTTCGTATATGGGCATAGAAACAATACTTTACCTTTTTAAAAAATAATTCTTTTAATTTTGACAAATTCCCTGTTTGTAAGATTTATGCTCATGTACCTCAGAGGGGAAGATTTATAAACATGACTTGGTTAAAAATAACATTTAAGCAATGACAGCTTTCTTGTTCTTTCTTTTTTTGTCTTTAAGAAATTGTATCAAATGGATTTCAATTCAACATGCCAGTTGATGAGTGCAATGCTTTCCTTGATTGTCCTACTAATGGATGACTGGCAATACTGATTAATGGGCCTCTACTATTTTGCATGTTGGGTGTTTTTCTTCCTCTCTGATTTCCTTTCTTCAGTTTAAACTTCACTTTAGCTTTTTCACCTCTAGCTAATGGAGATGCTCCTAGGAATGTAGGCTGATGACACAGAAGCTGGAGTGGTGCCAGCAGACGCATTAGATTTCCTCTCCCACCCCAAGACAATTGTCTGAAGTTTTTAAATGAGAAATTTGAAATTTGAGCTCAGGTTTTTTTTCCAAAAAAAAATAGAGGCAAATTAGCTCTGGGGTATAGAGAGTTTGCATCTTCCTTGTTTTTTTTTTTCCCATGTGTCCTTGCAGGAAAGGGTTCACAAATGGCACTGTGATGTGATAGGGCTTTCAGTATGCAATAGGCCTCTCATTTGGACAGGATCAAAGTCATGTTCTTGTATGATTCTACATTACAGTCATATCTTTTACTCTGGAAAACAGTGCAATTTAATAATAGAAAGTAGAGAAAATTTAGAAGACATTTGCATAGACAATTCGGACTTAAATGTACACATTAATTTCAGAATAGATATCCCTCAGCTCCCCACAAAGGGTTCTGTGGAGCACATGGGCATCAAAGATGGCGCTGAGAGGGAGTTGAGTGGGCAGAGCCCAATTTGCTTTACATTCAGTGCATAACCAGCCCGTGGAAGCTTAGGTGCATGATAGGGTGTGACCTTGACAGTGATTGGTTCCTCTTCCTCCCCTGCCATGCCTCCTGCTCTTTTTTGCTTTAAAAAGGGCTGCTCTGTGTTAATAAACGAGTTTAGTTTCTTCCTGCTTGACTTGACTCCCCGCTGGGTCTGTTTGTCTCCTGGGCTGAGGGAGGCTGGGTTTCCTCAGACCCCATGTCCTTCTTTAGTGGGAAGGAGGAAGACCCAACAGGGTTCCTTTATCTTGTGAAATAAACTATGAAATCCAATACATGTTCAACTATTAGCCTCATTGTTCTTTCTTATCTAAATTATTCCTTCATGGAGGAACAGTAAAGAAGTGGTTCATAAGTCAGCTTATTTAGACATTCAGACAGATAAATTTTTGCTATTATTTCCTTAGACTTCACAATGTGGCATATTCTTCCTTACGTGGTGAAAAAGGGAAAATTTACCTTTTCTTGCAGTTGTGGGGAATCTTTCTTTTTCTGACAAGCTCCATTGAATATTTATAATATCATTATGAGCCATACAGGATTATCAACACAAGGAGACAGGCTTTCAGCAGCCAAATGAACAGACACAACATATATGTCTGTCCCATCATATGCCAAGTGATTTCACAGGCCTTATGCAGCAGTGGCTCCCCATCCCAGCAAGGTACCCACTAGAAAGAAAATGTTTTTGGTCACATTATACCAGTTTTAGCTGCTGTTCCCAACATCCTTGAAGGCCTGGGGGTGAAGAAGCTCATGGGGTTCTCTTGGTCTGATATTTTCTATGGTGCTGAGTGGCATTATTCAACTGTTGGATAAAGAAATGCCAGAATGTACACTGACCCTTGTCAATGCTCAGGAAGGTTTTCAGAATAGCATTTACCTTCCATTGCAACTGATTTACCTTCCATTGCAATGGAAGCACCTGGTTTTCTTTTCTTCCTTGAATCAATTTCAGTGAAACATAAATGTGTATTTTGATGTGTTCAGAAAGTAATAAGTTCTAATAAAGTAATCTCCAGTAATGACAGAAAAAAACAATTCTACTAAAGATATAGAAAATAAGAGTGACGCAGGTGCCGGCGGCCCGATCGGTGGTAGGCGCAGGCTTTGTGACCAGACACAATGAGAAGTACAGGAGGATTTGGCCTGCTCAGCATCCTGCTCATCCTGGCGGTCCTTTCACACTCAGGTTTTAGCCTCTGCTGCTACAACTGTCCAAGCCCAGTTTCAGACTGCAATATAAACATGACCTGTCCATCTAACCTTGACGCATGTCTCTTTGCACAATCTGGGCCCCGCATCTATCGCAACTGTTGGGCATTGAGGGATTGTACTTTTGACTTCATTTCCAGACGAATAGGAGAGTCTGAGATCCAGTACAGCTGCTGCCAGGAAGACCTTTGTAACCTCCTACTCAAATCTGCTGGAGTAGCAGCCACCGTATCAGGGAAGCTGTTGTTGCTGGCAATGCCATTTCTGGCAGCAATGTGGAACCTTTGTCTCTAATGAAACAGCAGAGTGGGAATTTCCTAAGCTCCTTCACTTTCCTATCTTCCCATTTTCTTACTGCTGCTGCTGCACACCAAAGCCTTTATTGTTTTTCCACTGGATGTTGTTGAGAAAGAATAGAACTATCTTGAACACCTTTGATAAGAGAAAAGGATCTGAGAGACTTGAAAGACCCTGTCCTGCATTTAGGATAGGAGTGAAGATAGAGGAGTAACCTGAGGAGGTTACTTCTCTTCATCCTCTACTTGTTCCCTGATTCCTGAACGTAGTTAAATAGTATAATCAGTATTAGGGAGAATGGGGAAACAATGGATATTCTTTCCAACATCCTCTGTCACATAAAATTCTTTCATCAGCCATCTGCCAGCAGCTTATGCCTGTAATCCTAGCTACTCAGGAAGCTGAAATTCTGAAGATTGCAGTTCAGAGTCAGCCTGGGCAGGAAAGTCTGTGAGCTTCTTATCCCTAAATAACCATCAAAAAGCCAGGAGTAGAGTTGTGGCTCAAGCGGTAGAGTGTCAGCCTTGAGTGAAAAACCTAAGAGTGCCTAGGCTCTGAGTTCAAGCCCACGTATCAGCACAAACAAAAATGAAGCAAACTTTTCGGCATGCAGGCATGCCAGAATTTCTAAGTATGGGATGTCCAAAAGCTGTAGACTGAGGACTAGACCCAGGAACATGAATGTGCTAAACCATACCCCTAGCCCATGCAATAAGATGCTTAATACAGAGCAATTGGAATCCCTTGCTTTGTCTCTGCCAGAGAGTATGGGTAGGGAAGGAGGATATCCTATCTAAATGGCAGTGCATAGAAATACAAGATCTGTCTCTAGAGAGTTACCCATGGCTAAAATTTGAATGTTCCCATGTCTCCAAATTTTGTATGGGCTTTGCTGTCTTTCACTTAAAAAAAAATAATTGCCTAAACTAATGGTGTATTAAAGTTATACTCCCTCTTTTTGATTTTCTTGAAAAAGAGATTACCACACATAAAGAATAAACATTCTATGCAAAGGGACAGGGAGTATTAAGTGCACTTACTTCAAATGTATTAGGAGGAATTCCCTTGTGTGGTTCTAGAATAAGTGTTTATAGAAGTCCAGGCACTGATGGCTCATGCTTATAATCCCAGCTACTCAGGAGGATCCCAGTTTGAAGCCAGTCTGGCGGAAGTCTTCAATTAATGAACAAAATGCTGGACTGAAAGCATGGCTCAAATGGTAGAGTGCCAGCCACGAGCAAAAAAAAAAAAGCAAGCGCAAGAAGCCCAAGTTCAAGATTCCTGGTACCAGCACAAAACACAACAAATCATATGGGCTGCTATTCAAGACTTCCAAATGTTATCATTACTAGCAACAGATATGTGAACATATTTTGCCTGATGGTATTTAGTTTACTGACTTCTGGCTGATTCAGCATAGATTATATAAAATAGACGTATAGGATTACTATCAGTCACAAATGTTGAAGTTTTTGACAGCTCTATTTCCTCAAAAAGGAAGTTTTTCCTTTTCCCTGTGTCTCCTGGTAAATAATCTTCAAGACTTAAACATTGTATCCTTATGATCATATCAGTATTTAACAGTATAATGATAATAGTTTTGCATATGAGGGAGGGAATTTTGATTTTTTGAGACAGGATCTGACTATGTAGCCCAGGCTTTCCTGTAACTCCCCATCCTGCCTCAAGCCCCCTGAGTCTTAGGATTACAGGCATATACCACAGTACCAAGCTAAACAAATACCCTAAAGATCTCTGATATAATCTGCTGTACAAACCAAATGCATATGTAATCTCTTAGATGACACTGCAGTAATGTGCTTTTCTGAAAATAAAATAATGAAATGGAAAAATTTTTAAAAAGAAAATAATTGTCTTCCCTAACAGAATATGTGTTACCATTGTAAAACATAAACCTTAAAATTGTAGGTTGGCAAAATAGCTATCTAAAAAACTTTAGGTTCTCTGATATTGTTTAAAAATCTTGAAGGGTGCTTAACTAGAGCCTAATTTTTATTGTCATATGGTACCTACTGTGTGAGAGTACCTAAGAGGTAATATCATTATCTGGGTGGAAATGGAGGGGAACTTTTTCTGCAGTTTTATGGCTTTGACTACCAGCAATTAGCTCTCATCCAACTTGACTATCTACAGATACTTGTGTGTGTGTGTGTGTGTGTGTGTGCGTGTGCTAGCTATGGGCTTGGACTCAGTGCTTCAGCACTGCCCCTGAGCTATTGCACCAAAGGCTAGCACTCAACCACTTGAGACACAGCTCTGTGCCTGGGTGTTTGCTAGTTAATTGCAGATAAGAGCCTCACAGACTTTCCTGCCAAGCTGGCTTTGAACCACAGTTCTCAGATTTTAGCCTCCTTTTTAGCTGGGATTACAGATGTGAACCTGTAATCCTGGCTTGTCTATAGAGTTTTTAACATAGTGAACAAGGACATAGATTACTACGGTATAGAGTTGTTTGATAAATTTTTATTCTCATTATGTTTTCTGGACAACTCACATAGATATGATACAGGGCATTCCTTATTCTTTTGTCTCAATGACTAAGTTGAACATGGCATTGATGCATACATATGTCTTTCAAAGCAAATTCCTGAGTGACTTAGGTTCATGCTTCCCAAAGCCCACAGTTTGTGTGTACTTCTAAATATTGAGGGTCTATACTTGATGATGGCAAACAGCCCTTCTCTCATCATCTTACTTTGTTTTTCTTTTTCAGGGGTGTTCAGTTGGGCCAGAGTTGGACAAGGCTAATAAAGTGAATTTTCTTGGCTAATGCATAGCTATTTTCTCTTGGGCTATTCCCATGAGAATAAAATATAGTTATAATTTAAGGCCTCACTATAATTCCAGTGAATCTTTTATGACCTACTTGTATGTAAGAATACTCAGGCAACTACATTCTTCCACTCAAGTAACCTTAAGATCCAAAATGTACTAGAATTGGAGAGATAGGATATTTTTTTAAAGAGGCTTACACTAGTTAAAAATAGAGTAGGTCTCTAGGTAAAAGTCTTATCTATTAACAAGATGGTTTCAAAAGACCTAATTTCTCTGCTGTAGAATTTGGTTTTGATAGCTGATTTTGACTTTGCATGCAGATAAGATATAGAAACCTTATTTAGAAACCTAAAGTATTTTCATATTAGGTTTTCAAAATATTTTTGCATGCCCAACAATGTTCCTTTTATTTATTTATTTTAAATTTTGCATATAACCTCCTGTTCCCCCTACATTAATTCAATTCACTATGTTCTTCTTTGTACGTTTTTTATTGTAAAAATGGTGTACAGAGGGGTTACAGTTACATGAGCAAGGTAATGAGTACATTTCCCATCAAGCATTGTTACCTCCTCCTTTGTTTTTTCCCTACCATCCCTTCCCTCCCACCTCCAAAACTACCCCCATCCCCAGCACTGAAGTTGTAAAGTTTGTTTTCCACATAGTGTTTTGTACATCTCATTGTTACAATGGGTCAACCTGTATCCTTATTTAAGCATTTTGTTTTTTTCCCTCCCTTCCCCAAATTAGAGGAGTGTATATACAAGATGCAGGGTACCGACATCAAATACAGTGAAAATAAGGGTTGTACTGTATGTGTGGGGGAATATACAAAGAAAAAAAATCACATGGCACATTATAAATATGGTAGAAACAATAGCAAGAAAGAAAAAAGATATTTGTGTCCCTATCTTAAAGTTCATTTCGCTTAACATCATCCTATATAGTCATATGTATATAGCTTTTTACCTTTTCTGCTTGTCCAAGACTTATACTAATTATTGAAAATAAGGGAAACCCTGGGACCTATGTTTCTTTGGGCCTGGCTTACTTCACTTAATATAATTTTTTCCAAGTCTTTCCATTTCCTAACAAATGGAGCAATGTCATTCTTAAAGTAATATTGTAACATTGGATTTACTGTCAATTTACTGGCCCTATAACAGACATATTGACTCCATGGTAAGCAAGACAGAACTGCTGTACCATAGGCTAATGTCCTAATGCCAGGCATTAGACTGAGTTCTCACTAATCATCAGCTTGCTTAGTTTAGCATCAACCCTAGGTCCTAGATACTAATTAGAATGGCAATTTCTTATCTAATATGCTGCACCTGTGGGTAGAGCTATGTGGGTAGAGCTACAGCTAGAAATAGTTTGACTTCAATATCCAAACTCTTACCTGCTGCATGTAGTGACTACCACATAGACAATGTTTTCTTCACTTTGGCACCAAAAGTAATTAACTACAGAATCTCATGGTGAATCAATGTGCAAATTATTGAAAAATATAAAGGAAAAGAAAGATCATATTCTGTGAGGTAATTACAACCAATAGGCAAAAATTTGGTACCATATGTCGTTCCTTTGTCCTATCTGGAGCCATCATGTGGCTTTAATTATCCTATAGCTTAGATAGTGCTGTTGCTCTGTATCTCCAGTAGCTGCATTTGTTGTCTGCTTACACAATGCATAGGTCATATTTATTATAATTAATTATGGTGTTTAAACATGTCTTTCTGCATATGGGGTTACATGCCTGTAATTCTAGCTCTGGAGAGGTTGGGTTGGAGGATTGTGAGTTCAAGGCCAGTTTGGTCTACAAAGTAAGAATCTCTCAAAACAAACTCTCTGAAGAGTCATGGTTAGTGGGAAAATATGTACTGTTCAAAATAAAATTTTGGAATTAAAATGGCTTTGTGACATTCTCATAAGGATTACATTAAACTACTGCTGATTTTCAATGTGTATCACAAGAGGGAGAAGTTTTTACTTAGTTTTCTCCACTGGAGACAATCTGTTGCTTAAATAATAGGGAGTACAATATGATCAGGTAAGATGATGTTAAATAAAATGAAGTCCAAGATAGGGACACAAGTGGTATAATCCCTGTTTTCACTGTATTTGATGTCAGTACCCTGCATCTTGTATATACACTTCTCTAAATTGGGGAAGGGAAGGGAAAAAACAAAATGCTTAAA